GCATGGACACCACTTCTAAAGGTAACAGTTTGTGTAATTATAGCTTGGGCAATTCCTTCTGATGTTAAAAACGTTTTTTGTATGATATTAGAGGGAATTCGAGTGTTTTGGTAATGTTTTTCTTAATGTGACGTGCAAGTCACGTTGGTCATGTAACGCGCTTCTTGAGCTTATAAATCGTTCTAAAAATTAGTAGTTTGAGTAGCCCAAAATTTTATTGTAGTTTCTAAAAGATGAAGCCTTGTTCTTGACAATGGTTATTGTCTCAGTTTATGGAGCCATGTAACAATGGTAGATTTTAGTGGCCAATTATGTTTTGATGAATGAAATTTTACCTGAATTAGAAAATTCGTAACAAAATCGCTTTTTAAGGAATCTTGGAAAAAATACTTCAGAACCTTTGAAAAACATCTCTTGTTTTAGAATTGTTATGTTGATTCCGAATTGCTGGTGAAATAAGTTTTTTTCGGCCGTATCTTGAGGTGTACTATTTTACCGGGAAAACACGGTTATGAACCCCCAAAACACAAAATGTCACCGTTCTCCCAACATAATTTTTTTTCGGCATTTTTGATATCTTTGCATAACTAAGGCCATTCATACCTATGTTCGGGCAAAGTTTAAAAAAAATTCAAATTTTTTTTATTTTCAACACCTCTGCTCGAAATTTACGGAGACCACTCTTAAACCACTTTTTAAGTTTTATCCAATGCTCTGATATTGTTTACAAAGGATTAATTCGTTTGACGGTATTCAATGCGGACTCATTTTAGCTTTTCAGTTTTTTGAAGCAAACGGTTTTGAAACATCTGTTGATGTTCGCTAAATGCAGTCTTTAAATCGAACTAAACGCTCAGCGTCTCGCTCACTTAGAAAAACCCACGTGGTCTGTCTCTTAATTAGCAGCTTTACGAGCTTTAGCTTCAATAGACAATATCATTCGTTACCTACCTCTGCACTGTGTCGTTTTGGTCGACTGAACTGTTCAGTGGAAAATTTTGCGGCAGATTTCTTTAAAAAACGTTCATCACCTGTGCAACATTGTCAACCGATTCGTTCAATAAACTCGAATTACTGAAACTCCAAGAATGCGAAAAAAGAGCCCTGTTTCAATTTTTTTTATGTCAAGTAGGATTTTACCAAGCGTACACGTGCGTTCGAGAAGGTAGAGCCATTATTTAACGAGAAACTAAACAAATTTAGAATATTATTAACTCCGTATAGGTTATTTAAAGCTTGTTACAATGTACATTGTAAAATACATCGTTAATTAATTCAGAACATTCCTGATAATCCGTGTAAATGTTTACGTGTCAATGAAGGATCGATCAGCATTGGAGCAGCAACCCTCCGAAACCGTATCCCGTGTAGTCTTTAATAAAAACTGTTATGGTCAATTTTATTTCTTTCGCTTTCTCGTAACAACATTCATGAGAGTATAATTTATGTCAAGAGATTATAAGAGATTATATATCCTCTTGTGCACGTATGTCTTCCCTTCGATTAATAAAAAAAAAGTTTAGTAGCATGTAAAATACTTTTTAAAAGCTTTAGTTTGTGTCTCCATTGCCTTCCATTTATTTGTTTTACGTGACTGGCAAAAAACATTCTCGACAGACCTTAAAATTTAAGCGACAAGCGTTCTCTATCGTTCAGCTTTGCACTGAAGGTACTTATACGATCATGTATAACTCGAGGATGGTCTAACTCCATGGACAGCAAAGTGCTTGTCTGATTGTCTGCTTCATTGCTCGTCTCACTTCAATAATCTTCCAGCAATAAAGAAACGGGTTTAAGGTCGAGTTAAAGTAAACAAGAACACTTGTCATCTCCCATGCGACGCCTAAGTGTGATGAATATGTTTTACTATAAGAGACCACAATAAACAAAATAAGGAATGGTGTATAACAAACAACTAAAGCTGACTGTACCCACAGTGCACTGTGCACTGCTTTTCTGTATCGCGCCATGTTCAGTGCATTTGGTTGGCTCGGCTGTTGTTGTACTTGTGCCTGATGATGTCTAAGAGTGCGAAATATCTTTGTGTACGAGGCGAGTGAAATAAGCAGCGAAAGTGGTAAAACTATCGAGACATTCAAATCGGTTATACGCTGATCGAAAATGGTGCATAAAGAGGCGACAAGACATAAAACCCAAAAGCTAGCTATAGTGATATAAATGCGCTTCAAAGTTACAATCTTTTTATATCTCAACCCCAACAACAGGGCGAGAAGTCTGTCCACGCTTATTACCGCCATCGTCAGCAAAGAAACTCCACATAATGTTACGCTTGTGATGTAAGCTGCTTTTCTTGCGTAATGACAAAGGCTACAGTGTTCGTGAACCACGGACATCAAATAAGTAACATAGAGAGGCTGAGCAACAAGACCAACTAACAGATCAGTTGTCGCCAGACAACGATACAAGAGTTTGGACGGCGGGCGGAGGGAAGATATTTTGTGAAGGGCAACAAGGGTAAGAGAATTACCCAGAAATGCCGTGATGGAGAGGAAAATATGGACGGCTGCGAAGGATGCTGATCGAAGCCCACCCATCAAAGAGGGAGAGCACTGTAGTACTTAAAATGTTTTTGTCTATGTTCCACCTCTACTGAAATTTCTTGTCGACATAATTCTGCTTTCGTTTCCTCTGTTCTTGCTACGAGAAATATTGCGTCCAACTGAAACCTTCCTTTAATAAACACATTAAGACTTCCTCATTAGCTTTCAATCATTTAAAGTGCGTCAGAAATTTGCAGCTGTGGAATGCCTCACGTCTGAAACTGATGCTGATTGATGCCCACGCACTAAAGACGGAGAGCATAGCAGCTCTTTAATTGTTTTTGTCTGTGTTCCAACTCTTTTGAAATTTGTTGTAGGTTATCGAAGATTGCAACGAGTAATATGTCGTCTCAACAGCCCACATCTAGCCACGATCAATGACACCTCATACTTCAGTTAATGACATTTATACACGTAGAGAATTCCTCATCAGCTTTAACTCATTTAAAATACGTCAGAAAATTGTCAGAAAATTGAACCTTTAAAGTGCCTCAGGTATGAAATGGCAATAAGTAGAAAATGGAGAAACATCTATAGTATCATTCTTTTAAAAGAACGACGAACGATCTTCTTTTACCTGGATCAACTTTCACTGATGAAGTGGTAACCTGGTGTCCATATCATTTGTGTGAAGTTCAGTCTTGTATCATTATTAGCGATGAAAAATTGGAAATAAAAATTTCAAGCTGGCGATTTTACTTTGTCTTAGAAAAGTCGGATTTGAGAAAATCTACGAATACATCAAACAATTCAAATTTAAATTTTTCTCTGCCAACACTTTCATGTATGTAGCAGTGACTGAATTCTTCATGTCTTAATTCCCCTGAGCGATTGGCAATTCTCCTCCGATAACCAAAGTTATATATGACTGTGCTAAATTGGACATGATAATCTATTGACCGAGAAGGAAAATGAAGGAATGGATACTTAAAAACTATCAACACTCGATAAAAATATTTAACAATTATTTGCCGAAGATGAAGTGAATAATAATATTGTTGATTATTCCCGCGATGATGTCGAGTTAAAAACTACACCTTGTTAAACATACATAAACAGCATTTATTATTTATGAACCTACGATCACTCTTGGTTGCGTGTTAAGTAACTCCCGCGTATCTTTCAAGCTCTCCAAACTTCCTGCGTTTATCGTATATTTAATGACCGCACAGTGACACACGAAACAACTGTTAAAAATACCCTGTCAAAGTTTAGGAAAAATTAGTTAACCACCACAAACACGCCGCCTCGTTTTAAGTTGGAAAAATTTTCGTTTTTGCAAAACGATTTCTCTCTATAGATTTAATATTTTATTCCGGCTTCAAATTAGTCATTTCATTTACCAACGGAGGATTAGCTGACAGAAAAATCAGACGAAAAACTTAATCGCTGAAGATGCGTCAATCCCTCCCTTGACAAGGGTTCTTTCCCAGGGAATTTTCTTTCTGATCCTCTATGATAATTCAGTACCTTGATAATTAAACAAGAACATGTTCGTCGCAACCAGCTGTTGATTTCAGTAAACAAAGTTTCAGTTTAATTTCAAATTAGCACTGAAAGTGAATTCCCTTGACAAACACAAAGACATGGGCTATGTTTTTTGTTTTACAATACGATATTGGCCTCCTAAGTCTTAAAAGATCCATTTTGTCACTTCTTTAATGGGTGAAATAAACATGTCGTTCTTTGGGCGATAATTAGATGGTATGATATTGAAGGAAAGTGTGAGCTTATACAAAGCTTTGAAAACGACTCAATAAAAAAAAAATTGTGGAACTTCGGGACAGCAGGTAATCACTTGGAAATGGAGGAAATAAAATCCGTAAAACTCAGAGACAACCTAAAGATACATAAGCGACAAACCTCTATGCCGCCATCGTCAACAAAGAAACTCCACATAATGCTGAGCCTATGATATAGACTGCACTCTCTGTGTAATAACAAAGAGTCCAGTGTTCGTGAACCACGGACATCCAACAGGTAACATAGAGAGGCTGAGCAATAAGACCAACCAACAAGACCAGTTGTTGCCAGACAACTATACAAGAGTTTGGACGGCGCATGGAGGGCAGATTCCTTGTGAAGGGCAACAAGGATAAGAGAATTGCCAAGAAATGTTGTGATGGAGAGGAGAATGTTGACTGATGCGAAAGATGCTGGTTGAAGCCCACCCACTTTCACTGATATAGTGCTAACCTGGTGTCCAAATCATTCGTGTGAAGTTCAGACTTGTATCATTAGTAGCCATGAAGAACTGGAAATAAAAATTTCAAGCTGGCGATTTTACTTGGTCTTAGAAAAGTTGGATTGGAGACAATTTGCGAATACATCAAACAATTCGAATTTAAATTTTGGTCACAGATGCAAACGTATTTCTAAATGTTTGAGTCCATTTGCAAAGACGTGCTTTTTTCTTTCCGTTTTGTTTTGCGTCTCCGGACTTATATTAAAAACAAAACCGTAACGAGATGTTATGCCGCGCGCCAAACCATTTTTTTAAATTCGTTCTCTACTGCCTTTTTTCCTTTCGTCTGGAAAGTTATAATGGTATTTTTTTTAACAAAAACTGTTTGGCCTATTTTGCCTATTTCTCCCTATGATGTAATTTCCTTTCTTTATCCCTTTGGTCAACAAGATAAGAAAAATAGGCGTTAACTGAAAATAAAGGAAGAAAAGAAGAAGAAACCATTGTTTTGCACCAGCCATGATGGCACTACGCGCTCGGTATCGTTTTAATCCCAGGGTTCCATCAGGTACCAAAATAATCATTTCTTTTCGTTTGATGCCAATTTTTATTCCAACTTTACATTTGTCATTTTCGATCTACAATTTTTCTTCTTTTAAAGTTAATTCCTTTGGCAAGCACACAGACATGGGTCAGTAATATTTCTGTTGACGATGTGATAAGGAAACTCTCTTTTGTCAGTTTTTGAATGACAGCATAAGCGGTTTAAACGGTATATTTAAATATACTGTCATTCTTTTGGGCCGGTAATTAAGTGCAAAGATTATCCCTGTATTTTGGTGAATTCTGAATTCCTAAAAAGCGTCATGGAACGAGTTCAAGGAAAAAGAAGCGAAAGTTAGGAATAATTAATCACTCGGGTTGGGAGACATAAGATCAATAAAACTTGAAGAAAACACAGACCAGCATTAAAATGGATATATCAAATATTTCAAAAGTTGACAATATTCTTGCCATGAGTTAATCTGTGATAGCATCCAGAAAAATATTTCATTTTAGTTAACACCAATTGCACAAGAGCGATCCCTGAAACCCTATTTCCTACGTAACATTTCAAATAAAAACCTTCTCACTATTGTTTATACGTTTGAAATACGTCAGGAAATTGTTCGCTGTGTCAAAAAAGCTTTTTTGTGCTTAACTTGTCATGTACATCACGTATGAAATATGAATAAGAGGCAACTATTCAAAGACATCTTTAAAATTATTGTTTCATGTTGCAACAAACAACCCCGCTTTATTTAGCTTGCGAGAAGGCACTCAATATTATGGCTTCAATGCGAATTGAATAAGTTTGAGGATGTAAGGCCAAAGATGCAAAGACTAGCTGACAGAAAAACTAGATGAATGACTTAATTAATTGCTAAGAGATGCGTCAATCCTTCCTCAGAAAGAGTTCTTTCCCAGGGAATTTTCTTTTCAGTACAGCGACGGTAGCTTTAAAACTAATCAAACAAAAAGATGTTTGTCGCAACCAGCTGTTGATTTTACTAGATAACGTTTCAGTTTAATTAAAATTAGCATTGAAAGGGAATTTCCTTGACAAACACAAAGACATGGGCTATATTTTTTTATTTTACAATGCGATATGAGACTCCTAGGTCTTAAAAGATCTATTTTATCACTTCTTTAATGGGTGAAGTAAACATGTCGTTTTTAGGCCGATAATTAGATGGTATAGTATTGAAGCAAATTCTGAGCTCATAATAAAGCTTTGAAAACGAATAAAAAAACATTTGAGGAACTTTGGGACAGCAGTTAATCACTCGGAAATGGAGGAAATAAAATCCGTAAAACTCAGAGACAACCTAAAGATACACCAGTAAGAAACTGAACATATGGTGACCTCTATACAATAATACGAAACTTGTTTTTCGCCATTGCCAATATAACTTCAGCACATCGATCGATCTGTAAAAAAATTCCATAACAAACAGAGATGATCAATTTTATTTCATATACTTTCGTAACTTTCAGTTAAATATACAAGTAACAGAAACTTCTTCACATAAGCTTTACAGGTAATTTTCTGATCACAAAACAAACAAATTCTAGACTTAAACTGGACTGTCTCTTTTGGCAATATGGCGTCAACATCAACGTCAAGCGCTTTCTTTTAATTACAGGAAAAATGAGTCGAAATAGTTTTCTCCAAACACACAACATCGGCCTCAAACACATCTCTTAAACTACTCTTCGAAGTTTTATCTGATACCTTCATATTGCTAAGAGGAGAAAACATGAAAGTAAAATGTTTGCATATCTTTTCTTCGATTATGACATCTTGTTTTTTTTAGCATAGCGGCAAGAAACCATATTTTTGAAAACACATAGCTACGGTTACCTAGTCTGTCGTTAAATTTTTCTCAGAGATATAAAGACTTTCGACAACAGCCTGTGCAACTATTCTATTGAGCCACTTATTTACTTTTATCCAAAAACGTACTTAACGACTTCTCTCAAATAATTATCGTGACTTAGGGATTCTGCTTTCAAAGTCTGAGGAACAACTCGAGGAAAACCTAACTCAGCAAAGTGCTTCTTTAATTGTCTGCTTCACTGCCTCTCTCACTTCACTAATCTTCCAGCAGTAAAGGAACGGGTTTAACGTCGAGTTGAAGCAAAGTAAAATAGATGCTACTTTCCAGATGAGGACTAGGAGAAATGAATATTTTTTGGTATGAGCGAGCACAATATTCACTGTACATATTGGTGCATAACAAACAACTAATGCTAACTGCACCCACAGTGCACTGTATACTGCCTTTCTGAATCGCGCCGTGTTCAGTGCATTTGTTTGGCTCGGCTGTTGTTGATCTCGTAC